AAAGACCTCCCTTGTCTCCGGAATTATTCCCAGTTAATACAGAGCAGTTTAAGTGCATCGTTTTAACCTTAGCAAGCAGCACATGAGCTCAGCTCTCTAAGCAGCAGAATGACCAGAAGTTTAGAGTGAGGGCCAGCCTGGAGCATAGCAAGAGGAATGCAGAGGGGAGCAAGTTTTGCTCAGTGCCTGCCTGCAGTACTGTAATGTTTAGCAAAAAATTCCTGATGCCCAGGAGGGCCAGGAGCGGCAATCCTCTGAAAGCCTCACAGTGATGGGTCCATAAACGAGCACGTACCATCCAGCTGGGCCACCATGGCATTTCGGAGCATGTTCTTGGCTCTCTGCACCTCTGACTCTGTGGCGCTGGTGCACAGACGCATCCTGGAAAGGAGACGGAACGACCACGAAAGCTGTTAAAGATGCCTGTCTACTCGGACAGGGTGAATCCCTCCCCTTCCCAAGCTAATAATAAGCTAATTTCAATATTTCTCTTGCAGGCTGCAGCCAGTCTTGAGCGCTGCAGAGCAGCTAAGGACAGGGACGAGCAGGAGGCAAGGGCAGGAGCTCCAGCGTGGGCTGCACGCGCTGAGCTCCGCGCACGAAGCGCCCTGGTGCCGGGCAGGGCTCTGTGGCAGAGCCACCGCCACCCCCGGGACGGCCCCAGCGGCGGAGCATTTACCTGCCACAACACAACAGCTCTGAGGACAGGAATCCTGCCCCACTTTGCCAAAATTTAAAAAGATAATGGATGCAAAAGGCCTCCTGGGTACCTAAGAGGACCCTTTCCCTAAAAAAAAGGATCTCACTTGAATATATTAAAAAGAAAAAAAAAAAAGAGAAAAACTCTCAGTGTCAAAATTTGAGAATCATAGGCTAGAATCCTGACCAGCCCAAAGGGATGAAAGTGGCAACAGCAGTTTGATGAAAAGCAACAACTTCTATTATGCCAAGACAGTTGTTATAGGAACCACTTGTAGCATGACTTGACCAGTATATGAGTTATCAAGAAGCTCATATAGAGACACAATGCTCTGAGGAACTAACAGACATTCCATCAGCTCCAAGTCCAATGAGAGGGGCAGAAGTTGAACAGAACTGCTGCCGAGGACGCCCTTACCACTCGCCCTGAGCGCAGTACAGCATGTCGTCTATGGACAGCGGATCCGAAATGAAATGGAAACCAAAGAGGCCGGTATCGGAGTAAGAGGTGTTGAACGTCTGGAAACTGTGGCAGAGATTATGCTCCACGGCAAGCGTGGCCAGCCTGCTGGACTGATTCTGTGAACAGAGAGGTACCTCAGCCATGACCATATACAACTATGGGAGCTTTATCAGAGCTCAGATTCCCTCCAACTGAGCAGTTTACACAGGCATCACAGAGAACACACAGCGTAACGTAACACATTCCAAGATCTGCCCTTGATCAGCCCCATCCTACTTTCCACACTACTTTCCAGATTCCTGACCACTCCACAGCACCTTAACCCAAGGACTCCCGAGCTGGCCAGCCACCTTCCCAACTCCCTTACCTTACCACCTCCAAACGTGCGGTCATAGCGGCCAATGATGCAATTGGCCACAAGAAGGACAATGTTGTCAGGATCAGCCCATCCTGGACCCTCCACAGCAAGAGCAATGTGGGCATGAGGCAGAGCATCATCTCTGACACGGATCTGGAAAATCATCATGGAGCGGAGGAGAGCTGCATGAGTAATAGGACTTTGTCTGCTGTCAAGACAAGCAGACAAATTAGAAGACTTGATACTGTTGCAGGGAAACCAGTCTCAGGCAGAGCTAAGCATGAGCCAGGTGCCTCTGGTTCCAGTTGATGATGCAACAGCCTCACATCCCTACAGGATTTTGGTCCTATCTAACACTCATCACACTGGGGTAACAGCCTCAAGAACAGCGTGTTGATGCACCAAGCTGCTGCCTGCTCACTCTGTTCAGCCTGGAGAAGAGAAGGCTGAGAGGGGACCTGAGCAGTGTCTAGAAGTACCTCAAGGGAGGCCGTGAGGAGGATGGTGCTGGCCTCTTTTCACTGGTGGCCACTGACAGAACTAGGGGAAATGGCCAGAAACTGAAGCACCAAAAGCTTCACAGGAACTTAAGGAAAAATTTCTTGCCAGTGAGGGTGCCAGAGCCCTGGAACAGGCTGCCCAGAGAGGTTGTGGAGTCTCCTTCTCTGGAGATCTTCAAACCCGCTTGGACGCAGTCCTGTGCCACGTGCTCTAGGTGACCCTGCGTGTGCAGGGGGTTGGACTGGGTGACCTCGAGAGGTCCCTGCCAACCTTCAGCATTCTGTGATTCTATGCTGAGCTCCTCTGTCTGATATATAGATGAGCAGCCAGCTCCTCCAAAAGGAGCTCCTCCCAGCTTCCCGTTCACCGGGCAGCTCAGCAGAGCTGCTCGCTGTGCCGAGGGCCAGGACAGCGGTACCTCGCTCCCGGTGAAGCGGCAGGGAGGCAGCACGGGCACCGCATCCTCTTTGTAAGTGAAGGGCACTCCGCTGAAGTGCTGCTTAGCTGCATCCACCAGCTCCCTGTGCGAAATGCCTGACAAGAGAAAACTGCACTTTTAAACAGCTTCTTTTAACAAAATAATCCCGCATTAGAGGTGTTAGAGCTCTGTGTGACAGGGCTTTGATCACCAGCTTGAAAGTATCTGGCTTTTCTAAAGTCACAGTGATCTAGAACTTACCTCCAGCAGCTGCCAGGACCATACGAGGTGCCTTGAAGTTGGTGTCAATGTAGGAAACTAGATCTGCACGAGTCATACGCCTGGAGAACACAAGGAGACTTAATATATTAGCAACTCAGAGATGGAAAGACGAGAGACTTGCAGGAAGCAAAATACAACGTAGAGACAGCAGCAATGCATCTGATCATCTTAGTTATGGGGTAACAGACTCTCTGGAAGGGTGCCTACAGGGTCTGTGTTTCCTTGTACTGTTATTCTAGAACACAGAGAATGGAAACAGGCAGACGACATAGATAAGGGAAGTGCAGACAGGGCAAGCAGCAGCCTCTGCTCGCTGGCTAGTTGTGGCTGAGCAGGGGTCTGCTTGAGGCCACTGCTCCAGAGCATCCCCAGCTCCTAGAACTCTCTAGGGGTGTCAAACTGACAAGCATGGGAGAAGGTTGGGCCAGGCCCCTACCAGCCTCACACAAAGGGCAATTCTGGACAAGAATGTGTGCTCTGCCCCACTTCCATCTGCACCAAGCAGGGAAACACAGTCACAACAAAGTGAGACGCCCTCGAGAGAGATCCCCTCTGCATCCAGCAGCATTTGCTCCTCGCACACACCCTGGCTCCCTCGTGCAGTCACTGTCACCAAGTGGTGCGAGCCACGCGCTCCAAGCTGGTGCTCACTTGATGTTCTCAGTGGTCCCCTCGACAGTGCGGCCCAGCGCGGTGCCCTGGAACGCAGTGGCATGAAGGTAGTCAAGGGTAACGTCCGTCAAGTTGCTGTCGAGCTCCTTCAGCTCCTGCAGGACAACGCCGCGCTCCTTCTCGATCTGAGACTCCTCCAGAGCACAGTTCTGCACCACGTCGGCCAGGAGCTCCACAGCTGTAACGTTAACAATCCTACATTAACAATCTCACTGCCCAGCTGCTGCCCTGCGGTGCTGACAGGGGCAAAGACACACGAGCTGCAGGGACACAGGAAGAGTGGTGAGTGACAAGCGGTGCTGGGGAGGGGAAGCAACATGACAGAGACTTGTACTATTGTACTATACTTCCCCGCAGCACCAGAGACAAACGATACTGTTCTGGCTCAAAGAACCCTCTGGGTTCACACGCTACATCCCCCGACAGATGGTTGGTGCAGGCAGAATGCAGGAACACGACTGAGAGAGGTGCAGCAGGGCAGAAACCTGGCTCAAAGAACCCTCTGGGTTCACATGCTACGTCCCCCGACAGATGGTCGGTGCAAGCTGAAAGCAGGAACACGACTGAGAGGTGCAGCAGGGCAGAAAAGAGTCGAACACCTGCAGAGAGCCCGACACACCTGCAGCCAGGCCCACAAAACCATCTCCCACCCAAATCATGACCCCTGCACAAGTGACACGAAGAGCACGCACGCGGCAGCACGGTGCTGCAGGAACTGCCATCGCCCTCATTTTCTCAGGTCTGAGAGACAACCTCAGGTTACTGGAACTGCCCCTTTCCTGGCAGCACAGTGCAACATGCCACAAGGAGCTTGGCAGAAGCTGGTTTGAGGAACACTGGAGCTTGCAGCCTTGAAGCACCGTTCTGGCAGTTGTCTCTCCCACTGCCACCTAGAACCTCAGTTCACTGCTCAGCTGTTCACACACACACAAAGCTGCAGGCGCTCCCCGAGCCAGACGCCCTCCAGCAGCCTCCTACCTTTGGGCATGTCCTTGGACAGGGCTTTGATGTAATAGGCAGTCTGCTCACGCGACGTGTACCCGCTGAGGTGGGCACCCATGCTCTCTACCTCCTTCTCAAAGGCGGCACCGGGGCGCTTCTTTGTGCCCTAAAAGAAACCACGTAAATACAGCCAAGTTTCCTTCCAGGCAAGCTGAAGAGCTAACAGTAAAACTGCCACTTAACTCAAAAGAACCAAGAGCAAGCGCACAAAACAGGAGTGTAAAACTTGGTTTACTTGTCCTGACTAAAGCATGTAAAGAATGAGACGTATTTTGAAAGACCAGTAAGAACCCAAAAGGCAAAGAGAAGCTGAGCTTAAGCTAAAGGACAGCAGTGGCTGAAGAATGAAGTAAACCAAGTATAAGCTGGACCTTGAAATGGGAAGTTTCTAGCTACCCAAGGAGCAATTTTCTGGAGAAACCTTCCAAAAGGAACACAATGCTACTGCAGAAACAGAGCTCGGCTCTTCTGCTGTGGTCACCTATGATGAGACAGGCTGGATGGGCGCCAGCCCCAGGCCTCCTGCACCAGCAGCCCTGGTAGATACAAGGGGCTGTTCAGCACAGTTAGGTTTTCAGGGAAGGAAGAGCTTAGCAGGTCAGAGCACCATGCACGTCCAACACATTGACCTCAACAGGGTGCTACACTTTACCTTAAAGGCCAGGTGTTCCAGGAAGAAGCCGGCTCCGTTGTTCTTCTCGTTCTCGTTGCGGCTCCCCACCCCAATCCACACACCCACCTAGGAGGAAAGGCACCAAGGGCAACAGAGAGCACACAGCACGTTCCAGCCTCATGCCCCTATGTGCAACAGCAAGGAAGACAACGTCCCTGCTGAGACATTCCCCTAGTAACACCAAGCCACCAGCAGCACCAAATAAGAACAGCTGCCAGTGACAATTTCCAGAACATGTTTACACTTTTCACTTAGCAGGGTAACAAGAACCTGGGGCAGTTTTGCCACAGGTAGAATAATTGCTAGTCACTTATGCTCTGACCGTTTAACAGAAAGAAGTGTCTCTGCCAGAAACTTCGGTTCTAACATGAGTTTGTTCCTCTTGGCAGAGCGGTTACAGGCCAAGCACACCAAGCACATCCTCAAACCATCCGAAACTTACGGTACATGTCGGCTGATTAGACTCCTCCGAAGCTACGCGGAGACCGTTTTCCAGAGTGCTGACTTGGGTTTCAGGAATATTCTGGAGTGCCTGGGCATACGTGGCAACCCCTCGGTTCCTCGTCAAACTCAACAAGGCTGCCTAAAGAAAGGGCTACATGTCGGCTGATTAGACTCCTCCGAAGCTACACGCAGACCGTTTTCCAGAGTGCTGACTTGGGTTTCAGGAATATTCTGGAGTGCCTGGGCATACGTGGCAACACCTCGGTTCCTCGTCAAACTCAACAAGGCTGCCTAAAGAAAGGGCTGGTATCACTATTTAGCAGCTACCCCTTTCTGCACCCAAACCCGCCGGGCACGGAGCTCATGGAAGCT